GCACGCTTTCATTCAACTTCTGGTGAACCCTAGGTGGGAGGAGGAGGTGGAGGAGGAGGAGGAGGCGAATGATGATGATGGTGATGATGATGATGATGAGGAGGAGGCAGAGGATGGTATTACTGATGAAAAGGAGAGATGTATAGAAGGAGGAGGAGGATGAGAAATAGGAGGATGATCCAGTATAATGTGATGGCGACGACGACGGCGACGATTCGACCATACAGGCTTCTGCGGATCGTTCGCTCTGGGACCCTCTTGGGGGCCTCGAGGCCCTCGTGGAACCATCTTTGAGGGCATCGTTCAAACCAAGGGGGCGGCGCGGATCTAGGGTTGCCCTCCGGTGGCTCGAAGAATCACTTCTTGGAGTCCGTTTGGGGCTGTCTTGGATCCATGTTAGGCCGAGTTTTGGAGGTTATCTTGGGGCCTTCTTGGCTTCCTCTTGGGAGGGTCGGGGGCCTTCTCGGGGCCATCTTGGAGGACATCGTTCAAAGAAGGGGGGGCTTCAATTTGCACTGCCCATCTCGAACTTCTAACATCGCCTCATGTCGCCATCGTGGAAGCGTTTCTGGAGCGCTCTTGGGCGTTCTTGGGACCATCTTGGGGCTCCCTTGGGCCATTGTAGAGCCATCTTGAGGCCTCGGAAGGCCATCGGAAGCGAAAAGGCGAGAAGGCAACACTCATTGATTTCCTTTTGGTAGTTGGAGGAATTTGACATGTTGGGTTTCTCGGGATCTCTTGGAGGCATGTCGTAAGCCGTCTTGAGCCATGTTAGGCATCTTGGGCCAGGTTGGAGGTCATCTTGGGCACTCTTAGGCCCTCGTGGAGCCATCTTGGGCCATCTTGGGACGCTCTAACCTCTCGCGCCCCCCCCGTCCAGACCCAAGGGGAGGGGGTAGGGGGAGGGGTCAAGACGCCCTCCCCTCTGGCAAGCCGTCTCGCTCACTCCCACCCGCCCTCCCAACACATACGTAGCACCCGAGCCTGACCCTAGCCGCAGCATATGCAGCAGTCGTCTTTGGATGGGCAGCTACTGGGGGCCAATCCGCCTCCGCCGCCGCCGCCACCGCCCGCCGCCGCTGCTGCCGCGCCGCCGCCGCCGCCGCCGCCGCCGCCGCTGTCCGCCGCCGCCGCCGCCGCCGCCACCGCGCCGCCCGCCGCCGCCGCGCCCTCGCTGCCAAATCGCCGCCACCGCAGCCGCTGCGGCCGCAGTCGCTGCCGCCACCGCTGCCGACGCCGCCGCCCCTACCGCCGCCGCCGCCGCCGCCGCCGCCGCCGCCGCCCCCCGCCGCCGCCCCCGCCGCCGCCGCCGCCGCCGCTCCCGCCGCCGCCACCGCCGCAGCAGCCGCAGCCGCCGCCGCCGCCGCCAAGTGTACTCTGTATTGTTTTTTGATCGGGATGGTGGGGGGAGGCCGCATCGGGTTCGCTGCGCATGCTTCCGAATTTGGAGACAGAGTGTGTTTTGTATTGTTTTTACAAGGGATGGTGGGGGCAGAGTGTGCTTCGTATTGTTTTTGCAAGGGATGGTGGTGTGGGGGGGGTGCATGGGCTTGGGTTGGCTCCCAGTCGCCTGGGGGGTGTGTATATTCATAGGGAACAGTGATCGATACATTTCTACCAAACGCAAGCTGTTTGGCTCACCCCCACCCGCCCCCCCAACACATAAGTAGCACCCGAGTCTCGGCATGTTCGCCTAGGATCGCCACGCATGCCATGTGCGCCATGGGTTCCAGGTGCACCAGGCACCCGGGAGGCCCAAACGTGGTAGGCGCGCCAGGTGTGCCGCGTGCTCCACGGGCGCCAAGCGTACCATACGCTCCTGTCGCGCCAGGTGCGCCACGCGCGAAGAGTGTGCCAGGTGCGCTTCTGAACTGCCGTCATCCGATGGGCAGCTACGGGGAATTAAATCTAGACCCCAGGTGAATGGGGCCCCGACCCAAAACAGTTCGTGATCTGGGACCCCCCTGAAGCGAAGTGCCGAGCATTCTGTGTCAAAAACTACTGCAAAGTGGTCGCGGGTCGCCCGCGCATGCTCCAGATCTGGAGGCAACATGTTTTTTCCCCAACACTCCTGTGTTGGGTATTCGTTTTGAATAGATCAGTGTGGTCGCCCCGTCCTTCCTCCTTCTCCTCCCCCCCTCTCCTCCTTTCCTCCTCCTCTCCTGTTTCTGGTGTTCCCCTCTCCTCTTCCCTCGTGCCGTCGGGCTGCGATCTGCGCAACAGTCGCCACTTTCGTGGGCTCCTGGGAGGCCCAGCGGAGGTGGGCCTCACGCGGATCACCTCGGTACCTCGCCGCCCCTTTGGGGCGCTTGCGATCTGCGCAATTGTTGCCTATTTTGTGGTCTCCTGGGAGGCCCAGCGGAGGTAGGCACCACGCGGGTCACCTCGGTACCTCGCCGCCCCCTGGGGGGCTTGCGATCTGCGCAGCTGACGCCACTTTCTTGGGCTCTTGTGAGGCCCAACGGAGGTAGCTCCCACGCGGATCACCTCGGTACTTCGCCGCCCCCTGGGGGGTTTGCGATCTGCGCAACTGTCCCCACTTTCGTGGGCTCCTGGGAGGCCCAGCGGAGGTGGGTCCCACGCGGATCACCTCGGTACCTCGCCGCCCCTTTGGGGTGCGATCTGCGCAGTTGTCGCCACTTTTGTGGTCTCCTGGGAGGCTCAAGGGGGCTTGCGGTCTGCGCAAGTGTCGTCACTTTCGTGGGCTCCTGGGAGGTCCAGCGGAGTCGGGGAGTAAACGGACTTAGCCGAGACCTCGCAGCTCCCTGGGTGGCTGAACTGCGCAACGGTCGCGGGCTCCCGGGAGGCACGGCGCAGTCGGGGAGTACGTGCACCCAGCCGAGACCTTGCAGCTCCCTGGGTGGCGGCGCTCTGCGCAACGGTCGCCGCTGTCGTGGGCTTCTGGGAGGCACGGCGGAGCAGGGGAGTGCACGCACTCAGACGGGACCTCGCAGCTTCCTTGGGCGCTTGCGAACTGAGCAATTCTCGTCTCTTTCGCGGGCTGCTGGGAGGCACGGCGGAGTAGTTGAGTACGCGGACCCACCCCAGACCTCGCAGCTCCCTGGGGGGTTGCGAACTGCGCAAATTGTCTTTCTTTGCGCGGTCTCCTGGGAGGCCGGCGGAGTCGGGGGCTACGCGCACCCAGCCGAGGCTTCGCTGCTTCCTGTGTGGCTCCGAACTGCGCAACCGTCTCCACTTTCGTGGGCTCCTGGGAGGTCCAGCGGAGTCGGGGGCCACGCGCACCCAGCCGAGACTGCGCTGCTCCATGGGTGGCTCGGAAGTGTGTGTGTGTGTGTGTGTGGTGTGTGTGTGTGTGTGTGTGTGTGCGTGTGTATGTGAAGACCGCTCCTCTCCTCTTTCTATCCATCTATCCTGCTATCCTGTCGGCTCAGGTCTTGGACATGATATTGCGCCCGACCTTCATCGGGCCGTGAAGGGGAACATCTATTTACGGACCCTGCGGTAGGTTCGACCCTTGGGCGTTAACCTCCTTCCGCAAGTTATCAGCCTCTTCTACTTCGCTCTCCGTTGCGGAGCCCCGCGCCGAGTGCGAGCCCCGCGCATGCCACTGGACCCTTTCGGGACCCGTGGCCCTGCGCGCGGTAGCTCTCTGACGGCGCGTGGGCTCCGCGACGACATGGAGAAGGCAGTGGGACCTGCAGCGATACCGCAATCCCCCCTGCCAGTCACATGGGGTCCATGCGAGCGCGATCCTAACACCTACGCCTTCCGCCTCCGTTCTTCCTGCAGGTGGTAACACCTGCGGCGGCGCGCGCGAAACGTCTGCTCCGAGCGCTTCTGCGCGACGCCGCCGCTGGGACACCCGAGGGCCTTCGAGCCCTGCTGCAGTCCGCGCGCCGGAAGGTCGTCACGGAACGACCGCGCAGAGAAGAGCCCCCGATCGTTATGATTTCCAGTCTCAGCGTAGTGGCACCAGCCGCAGCCCCTCACAGAGGCGCTCGCGGCCGACATCCCAAAGAACAGTTATCGGGTCTTGCTGCGACGGTCGCGGACACCGCGGCCCAGAGAGCAACCTTGCGGCAAGAGATTCAGCATGCTCTCGCCCTAGTCGCCGCTAAGATCGCTGAGGGTCGGTCGATTCCCAACGGGGTCCAGTGCCAAGTCGACCGTGCGGAGTCACACCGAGGTGCCGACTCCACTGTCATCCAAACGCTTCGCGACTATCGCCTAGCTATGCAGACGCAGCTCGTGAACGTGAGGGATGCAGGCGCCGCGGTCAGGGCCGTGCACGACGAGATCTTCACCTCGGGGCAGACGCGTATTTCGAGGTACCAGGAATTTCCGATCAACAGCGTCGTGATGACCTCATCGCGTTTCGAGATCACGCCCATGTGACAGCTTCAAACCTCCACTCCGAGGGTACCGTCCGAGTTGCACGGTAAGATATGTAATGCTGAGATGGCTCATGCTCAACGATTTGATGCATCAGAGGGACGTGTTCCAGCGTTTGCGGACCGAGTCTCCGCGGTCGATCGGCGGTTGCCTGACCTTCAGGCTGCGCTGGCTGAGTTGCGTGTTGTGCGGCCCAGGCTGGCCATCTTGGCGCCGCGACTTCGGTTGGCGATTTCGTCCTCCTCCTCCTTCCTTCTTCTCCTCCTCCTTCTCCTCCTCCTTCTCCTCCTCCTCCTCCTCCTCCTCCTCCTCCTCTTCCTCCTGCTCATCCTCCTGCCCATCCGCCGCTTCATCCTCCAATGTACGCAGCTCTCTGTTTTTTTGCCCGATTGCGCATGACACCATGTTTTTTTGGGGGGCATTTCCAGGTCCGCAGTGGCACGCTTTTGCGGATCGAGAAAAAGCGACGCAATTGAAAGGGATAGGTCGGAAGGGTGGGGCGTCAGATATGACGCCAGCTCACCTAGGTTGCCCCCCCTTTCTTATCCCCGTGGCCCCCCCTGGCAGCTTTTCCCGGCCTCCCCCGTGTTCTTGCTTTCCGCTTCTCCGCCGCCTCCCTTGTCCGGGCCGCCGACTTGCTTGCGAAGGATTTCTACTCCGGCGACTGGGAGCACAACCAGGTGCCCTCGCCCCTGCCCCACTGGTGCCTCGGACCGCTGTAGGTGAGCTTGGGGTCCTGTGCGTACCCGGGTTGCTAGGCTGACGCTTTCGCTGGTTCGTTGCACATGTTCGATCGCCGTCCCTTCCTTTCAGGAGGGAACTATAGGCACAGACGCAGATTCACACACGTCGATTCCCAGGAATAAATGGGAAACTATAGGAAGAGAGTGGACAGTGGAGGGGAATAGGGAAACACTTCTTACGTGCACGTATATATATATATATATATATATATATATATATATATATATATATATATTGTAGTGGCCTTCGGCCAGTGCCGCCGATCCGGGGCGCTCCGACTGATGTGATCCTTCTTCGCCCTTGTCCCTCCTCTCTTTTTCCCTCCCCTCCTCTCACTCAGCATTTATCGAAGACGCCTACGGCGAATCACCGCCGCCCCCTGCCTTTTTGGAAACGCCGATGTGGCCGAAAGTTGGACTAGAGCTTGGCCAAGCTATCGGACCATGAGTTCCCCGAGTCGGTTTGGAAAGCTTTCGGGGAACACATGGGAGAGAATGATTATGAACAGGAAGAGGAAGAGGAAGAAATAGAGTAGGAGGATGAGGGTTGTTAGGAGTCTCTTGGGGCACCCTTGGGGTCTGTTGGGGGCTTCTTGGGGGCCTCTTCGAGGCCTCTTGGAGGCATCTTGGGGGCCTCCTTGGGCCTCTTGGGGGCCTTTGGGGGCTTCCTGGGGGTCTCTTTGGCCGTCTTAGGGCGTTCCTGGTCCGTCTGACGCCGTCTGGAGCCGTCTTGGGGGCCTCTCTGGGCCGTCTTGGGGCCCTCTTGGGGCGCTTCAGGGCCGTCTTGGAGGCCATGTTGGGCGTCTTGGAGGCCTCTTGGGCCGTCTTGGGGCGCTCTTGGGGCCGTCTTGGGGGGCCCTTGGGCCGTCATAGGGCCTTCTTGGAGGCCTCTTGGGCGATCTTGGGGGCCTCTTGGGCCGTCGGAAGGCCGAAAAGAAGAAAACGCAAAAAACCTTCAAAAACCTAAGGAAAACCAATGATTTTGGCCTCTTCGGGCTCTCCTGGAGAACGTCTTGGAGGCCTCTTGGGCCATCTTGGAGGCATCTTGGGGCCATCTTGGCCGTCTTGGAGGGCATCTTGGGCCGTCTTGGAGGCATCTTGGAGCCATCTTACCCGTCTTGGAGGCCATCTTGGCCGTCTGGGAGGCATCTTGGAGGCCATCTTGGGCCATCTTGGCCGTCTTGGAGGCCATCTTGGGCCAAGTTGGGGCAACAAAGGCATTGACAGACGGATTTTGGGAAAATTACGGGTGGCCGGCGGGACGGGCCGAAGCCCATTGGGGAGTTCTTTTAGAAAAAGAACCAAAACCAAAACCAGAAACATCCAGCACGCCGTGCACCCCTGCAAGCAGGGGGCGGCGGATCCAGTGGCCGTCGGCCTATCCCGCCACCGTGCGTGGGTGGTGGGTCAGAGGCCTCATGGATGCTGGTTGGGATCTCGTGGTTGGCTGGGACTTCTGGGGGCCTCTTGGGCGCCTCTTGGGGCTTCTTGGGGGCCTCTTGGGCCTCTTGGGGCCACTAGAGGGCCTCTTGGGGGTCTCTTGGGAGCCTCTTGGGGCTTCTTGGGGGCCTCTTCTGCGCCCCTTGGGGCCTCTTGGAGGCCTCCTCGGAGCCTCTTGGTGCGGGAGGGGTGGTACTCGAGTTCGGAACCCCCTCGGAGGCCACGATCCTCGTGAGGGGTGTCAAAAAACGCATCCGCCGGAAACTCGCACCCCCCCCCCCCACCCCTCTTCCCCGGCAGAGCCACCCCGGCAACCCCCCCAGAGGCTGAGGCTCAGCCTCGAGGCTGTAGCTGAGACTCCTTGAAACTCACACGCCGGATCGGCGGATAGATGTAAATCGGGGGTTTTCCTGATATGTATATATATATATATATATATATATGTGTGTGTGTGTGTGTGTGTGTGTGTGTGTGTGTGTGTGTGTGTGTGTGTGTGCGTGCGTGTGCGTGTGCGTGTGCGTGTGTGTGTGTGTGTGTGTGTGTGTGTGTGTGTGTGTATGTGTTTGGGGCACTTCCATCTGCAGTCCGCGACTGAGGATTATCTGCGCCGCCGACATACAAATATGTGTGTGTGTTTGCGTGCGTGTAAATATGCATGCATGCATGCACGCATTCATGCATGCATGCATGCATGCTTGTATTTGTGTGTATGTATGCATGTATGTATGTCTGCATGCATGTATGTGTGCTTGTGTATGTATGTATGCACGCATGTATGTATGCATGTGTGCGTGCATGCATGCATGCATGCATGTATGTGTGTCTGTATGTATGCATGCATGTAAGTATGTATATATATGTGTGCCAATCGATCTGTCTGCCTGTTCGTACGCATGTATGTATGCAAGTACGTACGTATGTACGTCCGTATCTATGCATGGACGTATGCATGCACGAATGCATAACATGACATGACATTGCATGGCAGGACACGGCATGGCATGTACTAACTATGTGTATGTGTCTATGACTATGCATATACATGTAGGTAGTTGTGTATATATACGCATATGTTTATATATGTATATGTATATGCATATGCAGGAATATAGATGTTTATGCATGTGCATATGTGCATGTGTATGCATATGTTTAGGTATATGCATAGGTAGACGTACATGTAACTATATATACACATACATATATACACACATCTTCATAGTGTAAACAAACACGCCCCCCCCCCGTGAGCGTCCCCCACCTCCGTGACATCAAAGGGCAACTCCCGGTACCGCGCACCCGGGCATCCCAGGAAGGCCCCGAAACGCCCCAGGACGGGCGTCCTGGGAGCACTTGAAGAGGCCACGGACATTGATTATCATTTTTTTTCCTGTCTGTTTAGCCTTTCGCGTTTTTGAGTTTCCAACGCTCCAAGACGGCCGAGAAAGGCCTCCAAGACCGGCCCGAAACCGCCCAAGAGAACCCACGGCTCCAAGACGGGCCAAGAAGGCCCCAAGACGGGCCAAGAGCTCCCCTGTGGCAGCCCATGAAAGTCCCAAGATGGCCAGAAAAGCCGCCCACCAGGGGGAACGCAAATCAACAATCCCAGCTTTCCGCTCCAAGAGGCCCCAGGAGGCCCCAATAGTCCCCCGAATGCCCCTTGGGGCCATCTTAACTTGTTCTGGGGCCTTCTTGGGCCGTCTTGAACGCCGTGAGGTCGAGCAATCGTATATGCTAAACATGTACGTCTCCTGTTGGAATTTGGCGTTTGATGCCTCTCGGGGCCCTCCTAGGCGGCCTCTGGGGCTTCTCTTGGGGCGTCTTGGGCGCCTCTTCAGCCGTCTTCAGGCCATCTTGAGCGTCTTGGACCGATCGTTCGGCGATTTGGTTCCCTCTTGGACCTCTTGGACCGTCTTGGGGCCCCTTGGGTTGCTCTTAACTCGTTTTGGGGCCGTCTTCGGGCCGGAAAAATCATGCGGGAAGACGCTCTGGGCCCAGGGTGCGCGCGAGAAGCCCCGCGAGATTTTGCTCTCCGGGGTCCAGGCCCCTTGAACAATCTTCAGGATTCAGGTTCGCCAAAGGACCTGAGGACACTCCAACCCGCGCCTAAGGGCATGGTGATGGATACAAGCCTAGTCATGTGGTTCGGGCTCCCCTTCTTGGGTCCCGCCCTTGGGGCTCTCCTGGGCCGACTGGGGCGCCGCTTGGGCCGTCTTGGGGCCCTCAGGAGCCGTATTGGGGCCCTCGTGGGGGCCTCTTGGGCCGTCTTGGAGCGGTTTTTGGGGCCTTTTGGGCCGTCTTGAACGCCGTGAGGCCGAACAATCGTATATGCTAAACATGAATGTTTCCTATCGGAAATTTGCTTTCCTGCCTCTTGGGGCCCTCTTGGGAGGCCTCCGGGGCCTCTCTCGGGGCGTCTTGGGCGCCTCTTCAGCCGTCTTCAGGCCATCTTGAGCGTCTTGGACCGATCGTTCGGCGATTTGAGGCCTTCTTGGACCGTCTTGGGGGCCCCTTGGGTTGCTCTTAGCTCGTTTTGGGGCCTTCTTCGGCTCCAATCAATCATGCGGGAAGACGCGCTGGGCCCAGGGTGCACGCGAGAAGCCCCGCGAGATTTTGCTCTCTGGGGCCCAGGCCCCTTGAACAATCTTCAGGATTGAGGACTGAGGCTGAAGGGGTTAGCCCAAGGACCTGAGGACACTCCAACCCGCGCCTAAGGGCACGGTGGCGGATACAAGCCTAGTAATGCGGGTTGGGTTCTGCGCATTGGTCGGGCCATCTATGAGTAGGGCTGCACCAGCCTCCTGGATCGTAGCAGTAGGCGTAAGTGCGCCTACCTGTAGTACGTTCTGGGGGAGTCGTCCTAAGTGGTCTACTTAGACTGCACGAGCACGTCCGCACCAGTCTTTGATTCGTACCAGTACGCCCAACTATGCCAAATAGTTTCGTGGCGGAGTACAACCAGTACATCTAAGCTGCTACCTACGAGTGCGGTCGGACTAACTCTCCGAGTCGTAGTAGCAGGCGCATTTGAGTCTACCAAAACAGTCTGGCGCAGTCGTACTGGTAGTGTTAGTTAGACCCTACACCAACGTCTTGGATTCTGCCTTGTACTAGAAGGTGTAAGTAGTCCCACGATAAAGCGCGGGGGGGAGATCGTACTAGTACGGCTACTTGGACCTTATGAGCACGGCCGTGCCATTCCGCGAATCGTATTATGTAGCTTCAGCAGGCTCACGAGTACGACCTGAGGCGGGAACGAGCAGGGCATGGAGGAGGAGGAGGAGGAGGAGGAGGAGGAGGAGGAGGAGGAGGAGGAGGAGCAGTGATGTTGAGCCTCTTTCCGTTTGTCGACGTCTTCCTGCTGTGTCCATCGTCAACATTTCTGTTGCTTTGCCGCCTCTTCCATCATTATTGCTCTCTCCCTCCTCGTGCCTCCTACCCTCTCCCCTCCTCCCCGCTCCTCTCTCTTTCCTTCTTGTTCTCTCTCTCCATCTGTCCGCTCTGCTCCTGCCTTTTCCGTCCTCCGCCATTCCCCTGTTCTCCCTCAATCTTCCCCTTCGGGTGTAGACCCCCTCTCCCCCATGGCGGTGCGGTGGAGGGAGGGGCGGGGGGTGGAGGCGAGATGCCTCCAAGTAGACCCCAAAGTCGGCCAAATATGGCCCGTAGACCGCCTTAGACGCCCCCAAGAGGGCTCCAGACGGCGCCAAGATATCCAAGGAGGGCCTCAAGAATACCCAAGAGGGCCCCAAGATGCCTCCGAGACCGCCCAGACCACGAGGATACCCAACCGGCTCACATAAGTCGAACACTTGGGCAGTTTATGTTATGTTTTGACATCTCTCTCTGTTCTCGGCCCAAGATGGTTTCAAGAGAGTCTCGAGGAAGCCAAGGAGCCAAGAAGGGCCTCCAGATGGTCCCACGACGGCCTAGGTTGCCATTCGACTCCATTGTATCCCTTTCGCTGCTCATTTTTTTGTGCGTGTGTTGTCTTTCACTGCTTTTTGCTTTGCACTGCTTCGCGTTGAAGCTGCATGTGTACTCCCTTGTCGGTAATCTGTCTCTGCTCGCCCCGAGTGTTGGTACGTCCGTGCGTGTAGCTGCGAGCTTGCCAAGAACCGAGGCTTGACAGAACCTGAGTACGCCCGAATTGCTCGTCGCCTGTCTGTCCCTCCCCATTCACCTCCCCCTTCCCTCGCCAGATGAGCGGGTACGGGGTGCTCAACTACGCGGACGGTTCCTGCTACGAGGGCCAATGGTCGGCGAACATGGCGAGCGGCAGGGGGCGCTTTCAGCAGGTCCTCTTGCGCCCTTTCTTTGCAGTTGTGTGTGTGTGTGTGTGTGTGTGTGTGTCTGTGTGTGTGTGTGTGTGTGCGCGCGCGCGCGTGTGTGTGTGTGTGTGTGTGTGTGTGTGTGTGTGTGTTGGGAGTCTTGCTTGCCGCCGGACAATAAGCGTCTACTGTTTCCCGGACCGCCTGAGCGCGCGCGTGCGGACTGCCTCTGCCGCGCTGAGACATTAAAGTGTGTGTTGGGAAAGGAGGAGGAGAACGAGGAGGAAGGAGTGGGTGGAGGAGGGGGATATGGAGAGACCAGCGGCAGGATGACCGGGAATAACAGGAATGAAAGAGGAGGGAGGGACGGGAGTGATGGACCATATAGTCTGGATGATGTGTGAGACTGCAGTGCGGGGGTTGGGCATTCTTGCGGCAACTAGTTTTGCGCCGTAGCTACTGGCTCGAGAAGTCAGGGTCTGAGAGGTGTTCTGGAAGGCTGGAGCGGGCCTCCGTGGACAGAGCCGCTGGAGGCCAGCCCTGGGCTTGCTGAGGTCCTCGCGACTGGATCGGCCACCAATGCGTGGCCGCTCGCACTGTCGCTGCTGCCGCTGCTCCTAGGCTCGCTGCTGCTGGCTCTCCGCTGCCCTTCCCGGCCTTCCTTGGCCGCCGCGCCTCGCTCGCGCTTGGTGTGCTGCCACTGTCCTCGCTCGCCTCCCGCTCTTACCTTGACCAGGCCCTCGCGCTCGCTCCACCTCGCGGCCGCTGTCCCCCCTCCGTGCCCTTCGCCCGAGCCTTCGCGCTCGCTTGTGCCTGCCGCCCTTCCTGCTCCCCCTCTGGGCTTCGCTGTGGTGAGGTCCATGGTCCTCGCTACGCCGTACTTGTCGACCCCTTGCGGTCTGCCACTGCCCCACCCCCCGTGGGTGCGCCCTCGTGTGTTGTCTTGCTGACATTCCCCTTTCCTTCCCCTTTCTGGTCGGTGCCCCTTTTGGTAGTCTCCCCGCTCGTCCCTTGTCTCGGCTGCCCTCCCCGAGGGACGTCCGCACTTGCTCCTCGCCAGGCTGCGTGAGCCCGCAGCAGCTTCTCTGGCCTCAGCGGCACTTCCGGGCGCTCCTCCGACGGACGTCACCGCGTCGCTGCGCGCGTGGCCAGGACGACGCCAAATAAACGCGTGTGCGTGCTTGTTTGACGTTTGTGCGGGTATGTTTTTTCAGCATGTTTTCCATATCTTGTGTCTTCGTATGAGCATGTGTTTGCTTCCCCGCATGCTCTAGCTTGCATGTGATGGTATGTTTGTCCCCTCCCCCCTTGTGGTATTGCGAAGGCCTTACGGCCAGTGCCGCCGACCCTGAAGGGGACGACGACGACGACGAAGACGACGAAGACGACGACGACGACGCTGGCGGCAGCGACGTCGACCACGACGCTGACGCTCTGGAGCCCTTCGTGGCCCCTCTTGGGAGCGTCTTGGGCCCTGTGGGGGGAGCCTCTTGGGAAGCTCCGTGGTCACTTGGAGCCGTTTTGGAGTTGATTTGAGGCTTCTTGGAGGCACATCGGATAATACGCAGCAGCCCGCAACAGCAGACGAGAGTGAGGGGGGTGCCACCAGGGGGGGGTCCGGGAGGAGGGAGCGGGGAGCTCCCTGTCCACAGGGGGAACAGGGGGGAGCTTTCCTTGTCTCCCTTGTCCGCAGGAT